GTCTGAGGGATCTCATGATGTTCCTGTGTGGAATCCCGGGAATTCAGAGGACAGGTCTGGGGGATCTCATGATGTTCCTTTGTGGAATCCAGGGAATACAGAGGACAGGTTTGAGGGATCTCATGATGTTCCTGTGTGGAATCCCGGGAATACAGAGGACGGGTCTGAGGGATCTCATGATGTTCCTGTGTGGAATCCTGGGAATTAAGAGGACAGGTCTGGGGGATCTCATGATGTTCCCATGTGGAATCCAGGGAATACAGAGGACAGGTCTGAGGGATCTCATGATGTTCCTGTGTGGAATCCCGGGAATACAGTTGACAGGTCTGAGGGATCTCATGATGTTCCTGTGTGGAATCCCTGGAATACAGAGGACAGGTCTGAGGGATCTCATGATGTTCCTGTGTGGAATACCGAGGACAGGCCTGTGGGATCTCATGATGTTCCTGTGTGGAATCCCAGGAATACAGAGGACAGGTCTGAGGGATCTCATGATGTTCCTGTGTGGAATCTCGGGAATACAGAGGACGGGGACATCTCTCTGTTGGGTTCCTCTTACTGGATCCATCTGTAGGAAACACACACACTGACTGAATACATTGTTTCTATGTGTTTATCAGATGATGGGGGATCTAGGTGGTGCTGACTCAGTAGTGGACAATCTAGGAAGGCCTTCAAAAACAAAATGTTGACACAATTTGGGTACTAACGCTAAAGCTCACTTCTAGTATATCTAGAGAAACACAGAAAAGAACCAGGAGGCACCACACCAAAAACTGTAATTGTACATATATTTTTTATTCCGTGTTTATACCTCACCTGCTTCACTCTCTAAATGGATTTCCTCCTCTGTACATGGCCAGTCACCCCTCATACAATCCTCCTTTTGTTCATTTGTACATTCTTCTTTAATATCATTGACGTTGAGACCTTCAAGTGCGGAATAAGAAGGATGGGAAACCTGACACACACAATGATACAGTCACCATCCAGACACACCCCTTGTCTGTTCCTGGATCATGTCCCAGAATTCCCGGCACCGCTCACCTCTCCCATCAGCAGCTCGATGATCTTCTGGGTGACTTCTAGGATCTTCTTGCTGTTGTTTCTCTCTGGAAACAGTAAGGAACATAGAGGAACCATAATGGAGTCCTGTCCATCTGCTGAGATCTTTTTTGCAACTATGTTGTCCTGCGGAGAGAGAGTATAAAATATTATATACAATTCCCACCCGAAGACGGTGCAACTTTCTGCTCTCATGTGCTGATCTTGCAAAGGGCCTCCCTGAGCTCCTCCTTATGACGTTTGATGTCACGAGAAGGAACTTCTCAAGCATGAGCGAAGTACTGATCTTAGCTTTGAAGTGGGCGCTGTGCTATGACGGATGTGGCTCGAAGGTTATATGAAAGATTATAATTGGTAGTGATCTGAAAGATGTGAGAGCATAGGTATGGGGCAAGGCTGCGGCACAGAGGAGCACCGTGCAATGTGGAGTCGCTAAACCTGATCAGTCTTCGGAAGATACCCCTTCAAGGAATGGTGATAGCGGAGCAGCAATGTTCCAGAAATCTCAAGCTTTGGGAAGCCAATCTCTGGATTTTGTTGCAGATTCCCCACTATCACATAAGCAGTAACCCTCATAAGATGTTTATGGGCTCACATTTGTCGGGCGCGCTCCCAGAATCCTCCTCACCTCTCCGGTCAGCAGGTAGATAATCTCCAGGGTGAGCCGTAATATCCTCTCTGGCAAGAGATTGCAGATTTGCTCCATTGCTTGCGCTCTGTTCAACTCACATATAGCTCCCATCCCCCAAAACACAGCATCATGGGTAGAAGACAGGCTCTTTGATTGGTTCTCCTCGGCCATTTTGTTGTAGCCCAGAAGACCAGGAGGAATGAACTATGCAGCAGATAATAATGCTCAAAACTGATATTGTCTACCAAAACCCATCAAAGACTTCAAGCCATCTGAGATCAGAATGAATATCTGAGGTATTTGATGTGCTCATTTAGCTTCATGTTAACATGTCTTAATATGTGGGCTACAATAAAATGGCCGCCACCAGGGGAACTCTATTGTTCCCAGAATCCTCAGCAGCCCCAAGTGACATTGTCTGTCGGAGAGTTTTGTATACATGTGTGTCCGAAGGCAGATAAATGTGATTGGGAGCGGTTAAGATATTTTGTAGCCCTCGTTATCTATCTATCTACACTATATTGCCAAAAGTATTGGGAAGCCGGCCTTTACACGCACATGGACTTTAGTGGCATCCCAGTCTTAGTCCGTAGGGTTCAGTATTGAGTTGGCTCCGCCCTTTGCCGCTATAACAGCTCCGCCTCTTCTGGGAAGGTGTCCACAAGGTTTAGGAGTGTGTCTATGGGAATGTTGGACCATTTGTGAGGTCAGGTACTGATGTTGGGGGAGAAGGCTGGGCTCGCAGTCTCCGCTCGAATTCATCCCAAAGGTGTTCTATGGGGTTGAGGTCAAGACTCTGTGCAGGCCAGTCAAGTTCCTCCACCCCAAACTCCCCCATCCATGTCCTTATGGACCTTGCTTTGTGCACTGGTGCGCGGTCATGTTGGAACAGGAAGGGGCCGTCCCCAAGCTGTTCCCACACAGTTGGGAGCATGAAATTGTCCAAAATGTCTTGGAATGTTTATGCTTTAAGAGTTCCCCTCACTGGTACTAAGGGGCCAAGCCCAACCCCCGAAAAACAACCCCACACCATAATCCCCCTCCACCAAACTTTACACTTGGCACAATGCAGTCAGGCAAGTACCGTTCTCCTGGCAACTGCCAAACTCAGGCACGTCCATCGGATTGCCAGACAGAGAAGCGTGATTGGTCACTCCATAGAACACTATCGTCCAGTGGCGGCGTGCGTTACACCACGGCATCCCACGCTTTGCATTGCACTTGGTGATGTAAGGCTTGGATGCAGCTGCTCGGCCATGGAAACCCATTCCATGAAGCTCTCTACGCACTGTTGTTGTGCCAATCTGAAGGCCAGACCAAGTTTGGAGGTCTGTAGCTATTGACTCTGCAGACAGTTGGCGACTTCTGCGCACTGTGCGCTTCAGCATGCGCTGACCCCGCTCTGTCATTTTACGTGGTCCACCACTTCCTGGCTGAGTTGCTGTTGTTCCCAGTTGCTTCCCCTTTGTTATAATACCAGTAACAGGTGACCGCGGAATATTTAGTAGCCAGGAAATGTCACGGATGGACTTATTGCACAGGTGACAACCTCACGGTACCACGCTTGTAGTCACTGAGCTCCTGAGAGCGACCCATTCTCTCACAAATGTTTGTAGAAGCGTCTGCATGCCAAGGTGCGTGATTGTATACACCTGTGACCATGGTAGTGATTGGAACATCTCAATCCAATGATTTGGAGGGGGAGGGGCCCAATACTTTTGACAATATAGTGTATATAGTAAAGGAAAAATCCGGCCGCACAGAAGGCAACGGAATTCAAATGAGCTTAAAAAATTCAATGTACCTCCGTTGACTTACGTTTTAGGCCCGATTTTGGTGTGAACAAGCCCTTAATCCAGAAAAATCTGTGAAGAGTGAAAAACTTGACCCCATGATTCAGTAAACTTTGCTACTTTAAACTTTAAATTCAGACGTGAACTCATTATTCTAATTTCTTATTTTTTTATAGAATAAATGTTTATTGAAAATGATCAAAAGACAATACACTCAGAAAGGTACGGATAAGGATCACAAAAATAATAGACATTCATATGAAAAACATGGTCCGGAGAGTGAAATCCAGGTCCATCGGGTGGTACAAGTGCAGGTTGTAGTTCAGATCCCCTCGATATTTCGATTTTGATGTAAAATAAATAAACAGTTCCTAAACATACCAAATTTGACTGAATAAATATACAAAAAGATTACAGCAAAATGTAAATAAATTATAATATATATTGAGATTTCGGAGTGATGTGAGGAAAATAACAAATTTTGCCTTCATGGGAATCGAGATTAAATTTTTTCATGCTTAGGAAGGATTTTGATGAAACAAAACTACCTTCCCGCGTTCTTTGTTTTTGTGCTTTTATTGTTTTACGTGTCCTTTATTATTTGGCATTTTCTCAGAAAAGGTGAAAGAAAAAAACATGTAAAGCAACAGTAAACAAACGATAAATGTGTACGGCGGCTTTACATTTTTACCTTAATTTTCATGCCGAGCAATGGATTGTTCCCGGTCTGCTGGGCTACAACAAAATGGCCGAGAGAAAAACAATCACCGTAGAGTCTATTCGCCCACCCCCCCTGATGCTGAGTGTTGGAGGATGGGCACTATTGTTGCAGGAAGTGAATGGAACAGAGTGCGAGCAATGGAGCCAAACTGCAACAACCTGACGGAGAGGATATTACGGCTCACCCTGGAGATCATCTACCTGCTGACCGGAGAGGTGAGGAGGATTTCGGGAGCGCGACCAACATGTGTGTTTGATTTTCTCTTACTTATATCTGAGTGAGAAGATAATTTACTCACAGTTTTCTTTCAATGAGAAATCACCAGGAAATACTGGATACAATTTTTGTTTACAATTTTAATTTTTTAAGTGTGGAAAAAATTTACAATTTTAAACAATTTTCCCTGCTCATAGCTGATATTAATATTTTTTTTTATTACATAAAAAAATGATAATTGGCTCAATGGTTAAGGGCTCGTTCACACCTGCAGGCATACGTTAATGTGAGCATAATGCTTTTTCCCCCCATTTGTTAACTTAACTCTATGCACGGCAGGACTTTGTATTGCATTATAGTGCGTCGCCTTTATGTCCCCTTTTTTTTCTCGGAGCACATCAACTTGGTGCAGTGTTGTCAACTGAAGCAGTAGGACATAAGGCAGCTTGCCTTGTCTCTGTGTTGGGACTGCATGGGACCATGCAGCCCAATGGGGCTGATGTGATTGCTACTGCATGGGGCAATGCAGCCCAACAGGGCTGATGTGATTGAGCCCTAATATGGAGCAACCAAGACACATTTTACGGTATTTGTGTTACTGGCAACTGGTTAATGGCAAAAATGATTTGTTACATTTGTCTTTATTATAAGAGGCTCACCGAGATGGGATCAGACAGATGTTGTACATCACAAATTGTTACCAGTACGGTGGAGAGCAGACGATGCGTGTACAATACAAGCGTAACAGCCAGAACCTATTCCATATTGTGTATAGTCTCAGTACACCTCTGGAATGCGTAGAAGTGTTTGGTTGGGTTTGTAAATGATGGAAACAAGCTCACGACTGTAACTGCGGCCATCTTGCTATCCTCTACTGGAGTTAATCATTTGATGGCTGTAGCATTAAAAGGTTTAAGGTGGAAATCGTATATAATGCTAGTTGCTAATCCCTCTCCACAGGATAACATAGTTGTGGAAAAGACATCAAGAAATGGACAGAACCCCATTATGGTTCCTCTAACTTCCTTACCGATTCCAGACACAAACAACAGCAAGAACATCCTAGAAGTCACCCAGAAGATCATCGAGCTGCTGACGGGAGAGGTGAGCGGTGCCGGGAATTCTGGGACGTGATCCAGGAACAGACAAGGGATGTGTCTGGATGGTGACTGTATCATTGTGTGTCTCAGGTTCCTATAAGATCTCAGGATGTCTCCATGGAGGAGCGGAGGTGTTTACAAGGACAAAAGGGCATCTGCAAGGACATCATGATGGAGAATGATCCGCCTCTCACATCACCGGGTAAGAGGAGAGAGCAGTACGGAGGGTCCACATAGATCCCCCATCATCTGATACACACATAGAAACAATGTATTCAGTCAGTGTGTGTGTTTCCTACAGATGGATCCAGTAAGAGGAACACACCAGAGAGATGTCCCAGTCCTCTGTATTCCCAGGATTCCACACAGGAAGATCACAAGATCCCTCAACATGATCAGGTAAAAGATTAACTATGACTGATAGTAAAATTATCGTCTGCACTTTGACTGGACTTTTACCATTTACTTTTAAATTTACATTTAGAGTGGACACCTCATTAATGTTAGTATTAAAGAAGAGATAAAAGAAGAGAAGGAGGACGGAGCAATGGAGGAGTGGAAGTATTTAGAAGGACACAAGGAACTCTACAAGGACGTCGTGATGGAGAATGAGCCGCCCCTCACATCACCGGGTAAGAGGAGAGAGCAGTACGGAGGGTCCACCTAGATCCCCCATCATCTGATACACACATAGAAACAATGTATTCAGTCAGTGTGTGTGTTTCCTACAGATGGATCCAGTAAGAGGAACCCACCAGAGAGATGTCCCCGTCCTCTGTATTCCCGGGATTCCACACAGGAAGATCATGAGATCCCTCAGGCCTGTCCTCTGTATTCCCGGGACTCCACACAGGAAGATCCCACCATCCCTCACCATGATCAGGTAGGTGGGACTGAGGACACCAGATTTAAAACTGACTCTAAACTGTGTTAGATTATATTCTTCTATGTAGTATCAAGATAAGAGCTCCCAGGAACTTTGCGATTTTAGGGAGAAGAAGCCATTGATATAAAAACTGAAGTTAAAGAGGAAGAGACATATGTAATAGGTGATGAACTATCTATGAAGGAAGCTGAAATGATGGTGACAAAGGAGGAATCTTGTCCATATATCAGCGGTAAGTATTATATACACAAAATCCCGCACGTCAGATTTATATAAAATGTAAGGTATGAAAGTTGTCTGAAATGAATTCAGCAAACCTTCTCACCATTTCACACAGTGTAAGCTATCTTTTGAAAGAAAAAAGAAAGGTTTGTTTCATCCCTACATAGAACTGCTTCAAGTTATAATAAGATGGAAAACTCTGCATTGTTTTCCATAAAAACTTCATTTATCTACCTAAAATCTATGTGGTTACCTTGATAACCAATTTTCATTACAAATGAAGTGGAGCTATCATACCCCATCTGAAAGGTCCATCACTTTTTTGCAGTAAACAAGAAAGTAGGTACTTGAAGGTCCATCTGCATTCTTCAATATAACGCCATGTCCACAACAAACGAGGAGGAGATACTGTACACCATATGAAGGTCCATCTCCATTCCTCAATAGAACGTCATGTGACCAACAAATGAGGAGGAGATACTGTACACCATATGAAGGTCCATCTCCATTCCTCAATATAACGTCATGTGACCAACAAATGAGGAGGAGATACTGAACACCATATGAAAGGTCCATCTGCATTCCTCAATATAACGTCATGTGACCAACAAATGAGGAGGAGATACTGTACACCATATGAAGGTCCATCTCCAATCCCCAATATAATGTCATGTGACCATCAAATGGGGAGGAGATACTGTACACCATATGAAAGGTCCATCTCCATTCCTCAATATACCGCCATGTCCCCAACAAATGAGGAGGAGATACTGTACACCAGGGCTCAAAATTTCCACTCGCCCGCTTAATATACTGTACACCATATGAAAGGTCAATGTCCATTCCTCAATATAACGTCATGTTCCCTACAAATGAGGAGGAGATACTGTACACCATATAAAAGGTCCATCTCCATTCATCAATGAGCAATGAACATGTTGCTATTATTATTGATAAATACATTTTTTCTGACAGGTAGACACGATGACCTGAATACCTCAGAGGAACATTTTATTGCACCTCCAGAAGAAAATGACCACATTGAACAATATTCTCCAGGAGTAAGCGTTTTTACCCAATATATACATCACAGACTTGATCATATGGTGAGATCGACAGATTTGTTTAGTTCGGAGGAATCTATGAATAGATCAAATAGAATAATCTCAAATGTCCAACCTAGTGTTCACTGTGAAGATGGATCACCAGATCCTTCTAATCCTGAAGAAACCTCTTCAAATAATTTTACCAATACAGAAAGAGACGGTAGTTTATTTCTATGTCCTTTTCAAGATTGTGAAAAATCATTTGTAAAAGAACATGACCTGGTTGCACCTCAGAGTACTCACTCCAATGAAAAATCCTTTTCGTGTTCCGATTGCAAGAAGTCCTTCCTAAAGAAGTCACAACTAGTCCGACACCAGAGAATCCACACCGGGGAAAAGCCCTTCTCGTGTTCCGAGTGCCAAAAGTCTTTCACCTTCCAATCGCAGCTCCGAATACATCAGAGAGTGCACACTGGAGAGAAGAAGCCCTTTCCTTGTTCCGAATGCGAGAAGTCCTTCATAACGAAAGCAGAACTCATTCGACACGAGAGAATCCACACCGGGGAAAGGCCCTTCTCGTGTCCTCAATGCGGAAAGTCCTTCACCCACACATCGCTACTCTACGCGCATCAGAGAATCCACACCGGAGAGAAGCCCTTTTCCTGTTCCAAGTGTGAAAAGTCCTTCAATCACAAAACGGGACTGGTTCGACACGAGAGAATCCACACCGGGGAAAAGCCCTTCTCGTGTTCTGAGTGCGGAAAGTCCTTCACCCAGAAATCTCTACTCAATACGCACCAGAGAGTTCACACCGGGGAGAAGCCCTTTTCCTGTTCCGAGTGTGGAAAGTGTTTCTCCAATAAAGGGAACTGTGATAAGCACATGAGAATTCACACTGGGGAGAAGCCATTTTCCTGTTCAGAATGCGGCAAATGCTTTGCACAGAAGGTAACGTTAATCCTCCACCAGAATAAGCACTCCACCTGAGGCTGCTGAGGAACCTATGGTGGCCTTTTGTAGGCCCAAATCATTGATTAATGATGAGGCATTTAACAAAATATGGGATATTTGAGTCATATTTGTTTTGGCGCAATCTCTGTTTTCTCCACCAAAAGTTCTCTGATTTAAAATTTATTGCAAACATTTGTGTTGTTTTTGATTTTTACCTCACAAGGCATTTTTGTAGCGCACCAGCCCGCCCCCTTCTTCCACCTTCTGCCAGTAACCTGTTAGGATGACACCCCCTGGCAAGTGACAAGGGCTTCCCTGAGGGGCGGAGTCTAAGTACCAGCCGGTGTTCACCAGAGCTCCTGATGGTGGAGATGGGCTAGGCTGCTTGCTGGTACCAGGTCACAGTCCCCAGGGTTGCTCTGCCAAGGGATGGACGAGAACAGGATGTCAGAGCACAATGAAAACCAGACAAGCGGAAGGTGCTAGTTAAAATATTTATTAAGAACAGTGTCCACAGGAGCAAGCAGAATCTTAAACCGGAACAAGCCAGAGTCAGGAGCCGGAGTGGGTAGTTGTCCAAGCCAGGTCAGGAGCACAGAGATCAGCATTGTCAGGAATAAGCCAGGAGCAGGAGCCAGAGGAGAACGTCAGCCAGGATCGGGTCATACACAGACTCAGGATACTCAGAGCAGCAGGAAAGCACTAGCAGGAAGACCATGCAAGGGCAAAGTCAGACTGGACTGAGTGGTTTATATATAGCAAGTGGGGTGACATCATCACTCAGAGACAGGAAACTCCCATCTGACTCACTCAGATGATGATCTCCTGTCTGGCCATAAGAGGGAGCCTGGGAGTAGTGAGCAACGTTCCAGAGTCTGTTCAAGCAAGGAAGGAAACACCGGTGAGTCAAATGGCAGCCAAGCCTAGAATACTGCAAACCAGTAAAGTCAGGGTGGAAGATCAGGGCGGGCAGCAAGCGTAGAAGGGTCAAACAGTCCGGGTCAGCAATGAGAAAACAGCAGAAGTATAAGCTCTTTCAGAAACAGGAAGCTGGCAAAAAGTCACAGAGCTGGTGCTTAAATACCCCTCTGAGTCAGAGACGACACGCCCAGGCTCAGGGTACACTGAAAGTCCTGGTTTAGAATCTGTTACTATTATCAGCCGTACTGGCCTGCACCCTATGAGATCCATTAGTAGAGGATCTCCTGGAAGTCCTGGCTGGGATTCTCAGAGGAGAATGGTAAACCCTCACAACAGTTGCATAACAATCGCCATAGCGACCCAGGCGGCCGCTATGGGGCACAGGGGCACCAGACCAGATGCTGAGCGGACCACCTGGGTCGCTATGGCATCCTCTGCTGGTGGCTTTCACTGGCGTCTCTGAAGAAGAATGTGCTGCTGTTCAGATCACTGACCGTAATCTGTGCAGCAGCGCGTTCGTCTCCAGAGTCAATGAGAGCCAGCAGCGACGGTGGAGGAGGCCGGACCCGGTAGTGAAGGAGGAGGCGGGGCCCGTGGTTGACAGCAGGGGAAGGGCATATTAGCGAGCGTGGTGAAAGAGGAGGCGGACAGGTAAGGAGTGGGACCAGCCCACCTGAGGGTGACACTGCAGAGCCCACCATAGAGATTCTATGGTGGGCTCTGCAGGGTCACCCTCAGGTGGGCTGTGTGGGATATCAAGTGGGCTCTGCAAGGGGTATAACTAGAAATCACAGGGCTCCATACAAAATTGTGCTATGGGGCCCTGTGATTTCAAGTTACCCCCCTGCCTCACATGTATTCTGAGCTTACCATAACATAACCAGATGATCTGGGAACCCTGATTCTCAGACACACCCACTGAAGAAGCCTTGCTGCGTCTCATTTACCAAAAGCCCTGTGTATCAAGGGAGGCTTTAGTCAGAAGTGACGGCGGATCTGAGGAACATCTAGGTCCATATAATATGAAGAACTCTAGGTTTGGTAGTGTCAGCAGAGCGGTTAGGTTTCTCTCAAACAAGGGTTTTCCTCGACCCACTGAGGGACTTTTGGTGAAAACTTGAGGTGAAGAAGGAAAGGAGAGTGAAAGGGGTCACTCAATGAGGTGGGTAGGTGAGTCATATGATTGTCTGTTATTATCAGTAGAAAGCCAACGCATTTTGGAGGTAATGCCGAGTCAATGCACATCCAAGCCCTTCCAAAAATCCAACACATGTTGGAGGTAACAGAACCTCCCTTCTTCAGCAGTGGAAGGTACAGCTGCTCTTCCACATCCATTTCTCTTTCCACTGCCATGTCAATCGCTCTCCTGCCCATCGTTTCTCCTGCATTGAAGGGGCAGGACAATTTGACTGATAATCCAAAGCCAAGCCTTTTCACCTGACTACCTCATCAAGTCATCCTGTTGGCACCCCTCTTCTTCCCCTTGAATACTGAGATATTTCCTGCGGACATAGGTGATTAAACAGAGGTAGAGGATGTAACACAACCCATATTAAGGAAGCAGACCCACCTACCAACCCACCCACACTTGAGGAGCTCTTTGGCATCTGGCCGCAGTGCATTACGTGAAACTCAAAATTTCTGCCCTTGTCTGTGCTCCTGTTGAGGAGATTTCCCCACTTCCTGTTGTGTCACCAGGACAGGAGTTGAGGAGAAAGCTCCCCAACAAGGAAATAAATGATGGGGGGGTTCCTCCTTACTTCTTGGCCTATAAAAACACCTGATTACAGTCAGCCTTCCTGTCCTTCACATGGGACAACAAGGACTCTTGCATTTACCGAGCTGGGCTAACTCTCTCTGAACATTGCAGTGGTGTAGGTCTGCCAGACATAAACCTCTACTACAGGGTTTGGCAACCTTTGCTCTCCAACTTCAAATGCCTCCGGAGCCATGTCTGTGCCTGTCACAGTTTTGCAATGCCTCATGGGATTTGTAGTATGACCACAGATGGAATGCCGAGGTTGCCTACTCCTGTTTTGCTACAAAGCTTCTCTTCTTGTATGTATTGTTGACTGGTGCCACCACTACACCAAATATTGGGCATGAATAGGACAGGACCATTCCAAAATATCCCTACAAGGACTTCTATGGCTCTTCTCATGCCAAACTTAAATCATCAAAGGTCACCCAACTATAGGAGACACTCTTCCCATTGCCAGGAAGATATTCTCAGCTCCTAACTCCTATCGAAAACAGTTCCCTCTGACCCCCATCAGAGGAGACCATGACTTTGTCCCTGAATAGACAACAAACAGCTAATACGCTTAGAATACTCTATCATTACACCGGGCTGGTAGTCCCAGGATGAGATAGGACACTGAGCGAACCCTGTGTTAGATACCTGATGTTCATGGCAAAGGAGTCACTTCCTGAAACCTCTACTGGAAAAAAATCAGATCTCAACTGCCCCCTGACCCCTCCTGAAGGCCTCTGCAAGGAACAATCCCCAAGCAGATGTTCACTTTCAAGAATCCAAGAAACTCTGTGCTCCCTTTCTGAGGGATTCGTGAACTCATACCTACTGTCAGGGTAATCGGTAAATCAGGGGAGACTGAGAACCTTTGGGCTTGGAAAGGGTGTGTGTGTGTGTGTGGGGTGGGGTGGGGGGGTGGAAAAGCAACTGGTGCTTTTATGGTAGAGCTAGATATCTGAGGGCTGAATAAAGTGTACAGTGCACTGTGTGCCACTGTGCCTCATCAACTGGCGGGAACTATGAATGGTGAGCATTGGGTGTTCCTAAAGGTCAAGGTTTATTGCAACACAATCAGCGTCCAGCATCAGCTTCCTTTGCTGCTCTTATCATTCAGTCAAATGATATCTAAGAGCCACAAATGAAGTGCTGATAAAAAATGCATCGTCACACAAATCCCAGTGAACAAAGAAGTGCACAAGGGTGCTGGTCCTCTACTGAAGAAGAGAGACACAAAATATCGAACCCCAATCCTTAGGGAACGGCTGAAGCCGGTCCCCCAAGTACTTGGTAGGGGTTCTACTGAAGAGAGATCCCTGAGAGAGGTGAGGAAAAAGACCTATGAAGGCCACAGATCGTCAGCCCCAACATCATGGCAGGCCCAGGAAAGACCTGCACCCTCTGTAGTAAAAAAATAAGGTGCTATGTGCAGGACACAGCAGGCCTTGCGACATACAAATCCCTCCAGAAAAGCCAGAAGACAGTATGGTAATGTGACCACGTGCCAGGTGCCACACTGTGGGGCCCTACACCCATTCTGTTTCCCTGGCACCCCTGGGATGCCAACTGCAGAGGGCACATCATCAAGAGTTCCTTGCCCTGGCCAGACAAGTGCAGGCCCATTCCTACCAGAAGGCATTAGCACTAGAGGGGTTCCTGCCTACAACTTGGAACCAGCCTGGTTCACCAGACCGGCATCAACCCAGGAGGAAAAGGACCCCCCCACCAGCACCCACCTATTACTCCAGGAAATACTAGACCTGACGGAGACGACATTGTTCTTCCTTGAAAACCGATTGGAACAGATCATAGACTTGATCTTATCCAAAAGGCCGGGACAGGTCAGGAACAGGTAGATATATATATGGAACAGTGGCCAACATGTGTCACTGGCCAGAGGTCCCATTACAGTATAATGGTGATGTAGCTCCACTCAGGGCCACCTACACGACATGTCTTATTAGTTCTGCTCCAGGGGGGCAAATGCCTGACTTCTGCCCCCCTCACCCCAATCCTCATCTGCTGCTTACCCTTTATAACATCAACAATGCCAACATGATCTTTTCAATGACATCACATTAATTCTCCATCCGAAAACGGTGTCCCCTTGGTAAAATGGTAAAATAACCGAGACTTTTGGGAAGAAGTCAAAGAGGAGGGGGGAGGGCGGTGTTGCTGGATGACGAGCAGTGACGTCACTCGTTGCCAGGAGCTCGCCAGGACGTCTGGAAGAGTGTCCCAGGTTACTAAGATCTGGGAGAGGAATGGAGATGGACTTTCCATATGGAGAGATGTGTGTGGCCCTTACATGGCTCTTAGGAACCTGGGACGCTCCACTATTGTGCAGCAAAACCATGGTCATGTC